AACCAACACAGGGCTTCCGGCCACTGTGGTCCCTTCCCTGCCCTCCTGTCCCCGAGCCTCCCGGATCAAAGTCCGAGCACCCGCGAGGCCCAGGCAGAGCTCGCTGCCCATATGCGGGAAGCCTGCTCTAGAACGAATTCCTGGGCAAGGGCGTGGGGGCATCTCCCACCTTGGGAGATAATGCCAAGTATTTCCTCCCCAAAGCGGCTTTACCAAATCACGCTGCCCTCGGGCAGCACCTGAGACTTGTCGTTCCACCATTGCCCCAGAACGTGACATTATGAGCGTCGAAAATTTTTGCCAATACTGTTTATAACTGCATCTCCCTAATTATTTGTCACATGGAACATCTTTTCCTCGATTTATCGGCCAATGCTGTTTCCACTTCTGGGATTTACATCTTTTTTCCATTTTTCTACTCTGCCATTACTTTTTTCTTATTAATGTCTGGAACTACTTTCTATAATCCAGGTACTAATCTGTCACTTATGTGCAGATGTCACCTCCCAGTCGGTGGCTTGTCTGCTCATTTTGTTTATTAGTACTTTTTGTTCTGCAGACATCTTAAACTTTGATGTAGTAAAATCTAGTAATATTTCCCTCTAGGGTTTGTGCATTTTGGCCTTATTTGAGACTCCTTCCCTGACTCGAGGTCATATGGTAGATTTCCATATTCTCTTAGGAAGATTTTCCTGTTCACATTGAAGTTCACATTGAACTTTGTCATTGATTCCCTGAGATCCACATTGTGAGGTTTATTTTATTTAATGATGACTTTTGGTCCTGTGACCATTTATTGAATTATCCTTCATTTCCCCATTGACTTACAGACCACCTTCATAGACATGCAAGCCTTCTTTTTGCAACATATGCTCCCCTATTTGAGAAAAAGAGAGCCCAGGAGCAACATTTAGCACCTCAACACGAGCTCCCTTGATGGCCTGTGAGTTGACGCTTGCTCGGCCCAACACAGCAGCTGGGAGAAACTCCAATGCTGGAGGGAATCTCTCTTTGTGCGTTTATGACTCGTGGTAATTAAACTTTGGGAGAACTTTTTTACTCAAGACCTATTTAAAAATTTCAGTGAATTAGTCATGCCAAAGCTCATGTGCTATTATCATGAGCTCCAGCCGTCAGAGCTTCAGAATGAATCACAGCCAAGATACAGTGTGTGCCCGTAGTTCTCTACAGACTGGAGCCAACCATCAAATTTCATATATTCCAGGTTTAAGAAATGTAATTAGTTGACCTACAATAAACACACTGTATCACTTATGGGTGTTTTGCTCTGTTCCCTGCAAACTGTGAGACACGTGCACTATAATCCTCATACATTATTAAAACAGCTTATTTTCTTTTAAAAAATAGCTTGGCAAAATAATATTGGAATTAAACCAGAAATTCAACTTTGTGGACTTAAAAATGGCACAGATCCAGACCAAGAATCAGAAAAAAACAAAACAAAAAAACAAAAACAAACTCTCAGCTATTTTAATTAATACACCACCACCACAAATCAGCAATTTGAAGAAAAACTTCAGAAATAACCTTATGGTAGAAATTTCTGTTAATGGAAACACCATGGAAATGCTAACAAAGGAGAAGAGAAGGGGATCTACCCTTTACTGGACACCTACTATCAATCGGTCACCACGGAAAGCACTTCTATATAGACTCTGCCATTTAAAACCTACCACAGCCCTCAGATGCATTATTTAAATTTCCACTTTAAGGATGAAAAGATCAGATTTAAAGATCTCGGTAATCCTGTCAAAGGTGCAGGGCTGGTAAACAGTAGTTCAGGGATCTAGACGCAGATCCCTGTTGCCCAGTGTCTTTGCACACCCATTTCCCACCATAGCTTCTGGTTCTAGCACTTGGATGTGTCACTGTGAGAAGAATCATTCAAATAGCCTCCGTAGTTTCAGGACCAGGGATCAAGTGGAAGCGTGGGACTGGAAATGCGTGACATCCCTGATGCTGTCTTGAGCCTCCTCTGGAGCAGACCCAACACGTGGCTGGCCTCAGAATCACCCTGGTTCTGACACAACACACCAAATCCACCCAGAATTGTGACATCTTGTCATCAGGACACCTTTAAGCTGGGTCGCAGGGACTCTACTCCATATGACGAGCCCCATGATGCTCCAAAATCTCTAGGGCTATATATACATTGCGATCCTGGATGCGTGAGTTTTAGAAAGATAATGTGCTGTGTTAGCAACTATTACAGGACACGACCTACAGGCGTGAGGCAGCAACTAATAATTATATTGATATTTCTGCTATGCAACAAATGAATATTCATACTGAATAGGGGGAAACAAGATAATAAATAGGCCTGTCAGTTCAGGGAAGACTTTGCTGCTAAACGAGTTAAAAATACTTTTGGTTTAGAGTTCTGGGGATTTCAGAATTGCAGATAATGGATTATGTACCTGTTTTTCAAAAACTGCATGCTTCCGGAAAACTATATACTGTCAGCTATTTGCAGGGGAGTAAAAGAGAAAATAAGACATAAACCTTGAATAATACTTTGCTGTTGACAAAACTGTTTTCACACTTTATTTCACCCTCAGAGTAACAATGTGAGAGATTTTTATCCTATTTTATTAGTGAGGCTGTTGAAGTTCAGAGCTTGAGAATCTTGCAGATGGTCACGTAGCCAGGAAACAGTAGGACTAGAAACCTGACCTCTATACAAAATCTGACCAGATCTACAGGTTCTAATTCCAATTTCATCTCTTTGTACTGTGGGACCTTACAAGCCACTTGAGTCCTCCTCCCAAGTTTTCCTTGATTCTCACCATGACTACCACATGGTGAGAGTCACTTCTGACACCAGCTATGTGGGATGTGTTCCTGCACCAAGCAATTCTGTATCACCAGCCGAGGGTCCTACAATTTAACTCCATTCTGACACTATCTACCTGGAGATAGTATTGATCCCACATGTTAAAGGTTCAGTTAAAGTGGGTTAAGTATCCCCCCACTTCAGATACCAATCCCAAGTCTAAGTAATTACCTGTCCTTTTGCTTGGTCAGCTATACATTGGAGGTTCCTTCAACACCCCTCCTTAGATTTGATTCATTCACTCGAGTGGCTCCTAGGACTCAAGAAAACAGTTGACTTAGTATTTATCAGCTCATTATAAAAGGATATGATAAAGGATACATATGAACATCCAGATGGTAGAGATGCAGAAGGCAAAGTATGTTTAAGGGCCACAGTTTCCATGTCTTCCCACAGCGTCTCCATGTGTTCACCAACCCAGAAGTGGAAGCGCTCCCAACCACATACTTTTGGGGTTTTTAATGGAGTTTTCACCATATAAGCATGATCCATTACTATCTTCTTTTCCAACCCCTCTCTCTTCTCTGGAGAAGGGGGTGAGGCCGAAAGTTCCAAGGCTCTAATCATAGCTTGGTCTTTTTGGTGACCAGCCTCATCCAGGTGTCCACTCAGAGTCACCTCATTAGAAGAGGAGACACTCCTATCACTGAGGATAGTCCAAGGGATTTAGGAGCCCAGTGTCAGGAACCAGGGTCAAAGACCAAATATTAGAAAAAAAAAAGTGCTTCTAATGGCTCTTATCACTTAGGAAATTGTAAGGGTTTTACGAGGTCTGTCAGGAACCGGGGACAGAGACGAATTACATGGTTTTTATTATCTCATACCCCTAAGCCTTGCCAAAGTTTGGTTTCCTTGCTTATAATGTAGAGACAATTAGTTTTCTGCCTAATTCAACAGGTTGTAGTGAGAAGCAGATCATACTGTGCTATACAAATGTAAGATCTTATTACTGTACACCTGCATCGTTTGGCTCAAAATCCATGCAGCCTGGTCAGGACAGGGAGTATTATCTGTGACTCCTGGGGGGGCTCATCAGAACTTATAGAATGGCCAGAAAGAGACCTGTCTTCTCCTGCTGAGTCGAAGCCTATAGCCACAGCTGCAGAGTTCTCATGTTTTAAACTTTCAGCTGATCCCTGAGCACATTCCATTCTCATGATGTGCAAATTTTAAAGGACATTTGCCTTCAAGCGTACTGGAAAAAAATAAATTGAAACCTCTTTTTCAGTCTTTGGACCTTGGGATATATAATTCAAGCAATAAAAAACTATGTCACATGTTTTATTGTACATTTCTATGTAATACAGAAATAGATATTAGTGTGGAAGTTATCTTTCTTTTCAATACAGTCTTTTCAGGACCTCATGAAAAAGCAGCTATGCCAAAATCTGCTTCATGGAAAAACTCTTTAAAAGCGTGTCCAGAAAAATGCAATAAAGGTCATTATTATGCCAGAAATTCGGTTGAAATACTGACCAAACCAGTTCCCACCTACATATTTTGTAGGTTACTACCACTCGTCTTCTAATACCACAGGACAAATTGGGCATGGCCTTGTTTTCTCAACACTGGCGTGACAAAAATCTTATACTATGCTTGTCATTTTCTTCCTTCTAATTTTACACGCACACCAGATTTCTCATAAATAAATAATTAATTAATTTTAATAATTTAAAATTATTGTGTGCCTGCATATAAATGTTGCACATATATGTATGTGTATATGTGTGTACATTGGACGCATCTATCTACTGCACATACAAGTACAGATACTTACACATACATAATGTATGTACACATATAGGCATAAACATGTTCTATGAGCAGTCTTTCATTCAACAAACAAATATTAATTATCTCAAGTGAGGCATTGGGAACAGAAAAAAATAATATAGCCTAATTCCTAGCCTCTAGCAGACATACATTCATGAAAATGAGTAATTTCACTAGTGTAGTAGAAGAATATCATCATAGTTTTGAGGATCCAAGAAAACTGCCTAAGAGAGTATATCTTTTCAATTAGAGAATCTAGGGCTACAGGGTTACTATTTTATATTTTCAGACATGGAATATTGTTTCATATATAGTATATGCTTAATTTGTATTTTGTTGATTAATATTGGTTGGTTTAAAAAATCTGGAATGCATTATTCTGAAAAAGCAATCAAATGTGTGTCATCCTTGTGCAGGGGCCATGCAGATCTTCTCTGTATTGTTCCAACTTTAGTATAAGTGCTGCCAAAGCAAGCACTCAAACTTCAGATTTGAAGGTAATGCTTGCTGGAGTGATTTCTGTATAGGACCAACCCAAACTAATGCTTTTTAGATCCAGATTGTGCAGACAATATGCTATCTTTTCATTTGTTAATAACTTCTTTAACTCCAAAACACAGCAATTAGAATTGGATGACACATATAAAAGTTCAGATAAAATGGAAGAAAAGTTATGAATTAAAAATATGTGTGTGGTTTCAAAATGCTTTGGTCATTTCTTTGCTAGCCTCTCATATTTCAAGCCAGACTTTCTATCTTTAGAGCCAGATATACCAAGTTTCACTGTTGCTTATTGGAAATTTTGATAGGCGATAAGACGGGGAGAGGTCGAAATTCTTAAAAAAAATTCTTAAAAAAATATATATATATGGAAGATTATCTGTGGGTTTTAGTGAACCTTGGGGGACTGAAGATGGCTCTGACAGCTGAGACAAAAGAGGCCAGGAATGTGCCTTAGATGAGACATTAGGGAGAGAAATTCTCAAAAGTATTCAGTTAGTGGCCTTGGCTTTCCTTGGCATCCTGTTGGTAGGGTCATACACGGAGACAGGGTTGTCACTGTTAATTTCTGTTTATGAGGCATTCCAAAGATATTGCCGAATAAAAACAATAAACCAACATTGTTATTCTCAGGTATGCGAGCTGTAAAGCTGACACTTTAGCCCTCTGGCCATTTTTCAAGACATTACCTAATACCTAACCTCATCATGGTGACTAGAGGGAAACATTTTCCAAAGCACGGCCATAAACTGCTTCGATAGAGTCCACCCTAAGTCTTGGACACGAAGGCCTCCTGAAGGGAGTTGGAGGCCCTTCCTCCAGAACCGCATGCAAAAGTCAGGGAGTGTGAACTCACAGGGCTGGTGTGCAGCTCCCTGTCTACCTGTGCCACAGAGTCCAGCTCTCTGGGCCTCAGACCTGCAGTCTCCACAAGAAACACCTCAATGGGCTCCATTCTCCTCGATCGTGATGGGTCTGTCTTTCTTTCTTACTCATTTCCTACCCTACATCCCACGCCTTTCCCTCCGCCTTCTCCGATCCAGAGCTCCTGAGAGGTTGTCCCAGATGAGAGGTTGCCCCACACCCAGCTCGACACTCGGTGTGTGTCAGAGTCACCTGAGAAGCCCTAAAAAATGCCTGTGCCCGTGCCTCACTGCTTAGCTCTTGTAACTCAGATGGCCCAGGCCTCAGCACGTGTACGAAACTCACCAGGTGATTCCGATGGGCAGCCAACACTAACAACCATTGACCTCAGGAGTTGGGGCTTTTTAAACTAAGTAATGAGTTGACAGTAATGCTTCTGGATTTGGGAATGTGTGAGAAAGATAACTCCGGTGACATTTTGCAGGGCATATCGGAGAAGGGAGAAAATGGAGGTGGAAACCATGGGTTCATCAAGCCCATCAACATTCGAAGGGGGATCATTCGTGGTGGCTGGAATGTCATTGCAGGTGAAATAGCTCCACTCAAAATCTTTGTCTAGGCCCCATTAAATATTTTGTTTAAATGTCATTTAAAATGTCTTCCGTGATAAAGGATAAAATACTCTCAGAATGCATTTCTGGTGAGGAGGATTTGTAATTGACAGTGATTTGCACTTGGAGCTAAGGGAAGGTACTTTGTCTATGAATTCTGGGATTAACTGTCTTCCAGACTGAGGAGAGATGCAGATACCTTCAAACCTATTCTCCATTTTTATGTTAGGTGGTGAATTTCTCCCTCAGATAGTCTGGCTGGGGCCACGAGGCTTATTTCAGTCCAATTGGAGATGGGGAATAGAATAATCCCATCAATTCACTCAGGATCAGAAGCCATGGGGTCACGGAAGCCACCACTCTGCAAAGGTAATCTGGCCAGAAGATAGGGAAATTGGGAGAAGTTAATTAGAGAACATATTCAGGCCACTGATATGGAAGTACAATTACATGTTCATATTGCTCTCTTGTGCAAAATGGAAGCAGAGAGAAAAAAGTGATTCTGATTTGCCAGCTAAATGCTAGAAAGATATAATAATTCATTCAATCATGAATTCATTCTTTTAAAATGATTCTATTGAAGTGAAATTTCAAGCAACATAAAATTAACCATTTAAAAGAGGAGTGAAATGTCATTTACTGCATTATACAGCAATGCCTAATATTGTATATTGTGCCATCACTACCTCCACCTAATTCTAAAACATTTTTAACATCTCAACATTAATTTACTCTTTAAATATTTATCCGTGACCCTGTATACAACCCCTGCTGTGCCAAACATAAGAAACTTTATGAGGAACAATAAAAACTTACTTTACTTAAAAAAATAAATTTTGGGGGACACCTGGGTGGCTCTGTGGTTGAGCATCTGCCTTTGGTTCATGTTAAGATCCTGGGGTCTTAGGATCAAGTCCCGCATCAGGCTCCCCACAGGGAGCCTGCTTCTCCGTCTGCCTATGTCTCTACCTCTCTCTGTGTGTGTCTCTCATGGATAAATAGATAAAACCTTTAAAAAATAAATAAATTTTCAGTAGGGAGCAAGGCCATTCTCCTATTAAAATATAAGACAATATACGATAATGTCTATAAGACCATGACACCGAGTAAAGGAGAACAGATTTCTGATTTGTGGATGCCAGTAGGTTTGGTGTGAAAAACTTCATAAAGGAGGCAGTATTGGGGCAGCCCAGGTGGCTCAGCAGTTTAGCGCTGCCTTCAGCCCAGGGTCTGATCCTGGAGACCCAGGATCGAGTCCCATGTCGGGCTCCCTGCATGGAGCCTGCTTCTCCCTCTGCCTTGTGTCTCTGCCTCTCTCTCTCTCTCTCTCTCTCTCTCTCTCTCTCTCTCTCTGTGTCTCTCATGAATAGATAAAGAAAATCTTAAAAAAAAAAAAAAGGAGGCAGTATTTGAGACAGGCTTCAAATGATGGGTGGAAGGAGACAGCATACTCCTGGTAGCGGAAGTACCATGAGCCAAGCAAAGAAAGGAAAAGCATGATAAATACTCAGGGAGTGTTGCATGACTACACCTGGGCAGGATGGGAGGAGTGGAAGGTCAGACTAGAAAAGTAGGTTAAGCCAGTATCATTCCTAGAGATCTTTGAATAACTGATGAAGAATTTTGGATTTTATTTGCTAAGCAATGACCAGCTCCTGAATATTTTTTTTAAGCAGGAAGAAATACAGACAATGAAGTATTTTAGGGAGATAAGTTATGTAATGACCATTTAAGGATGGATTAGAGAGAAGGAAACTGTCCCTTTAGGTAACTCCAGCAACAGCAAAGGCACAGGTCTGTCGGTGTGTAAATTGGAGGAGAGAAGCCTCCAAGCCCCTGAAAGTGAGCTAGTGGTGACCATAAAGGAGGAGGGCTTTTTTGTTTGCTAGTTGGCTTTTTTAAGTAGGCTCCATCCCTAAAATGGAACTTGAACCCATGACCCCAAGATCGAGTCGATACACTATGGACTGAGCCAGCCGGGCACCTCAAGGATGAGGTTTAAGGAACCTCAACCACCACAGTGGCTTCTAGTCTAAGAACCAACTTTGGTTGCCTTGTCTTAGAGACTCTGTCTAAATACTTGGCCAGTCTTATTGATAAATCTCAGGACCAGCTATATAGGTAAATCATGGTCAGGAAGTTAGTAATTGTCTTTCAGTGACAACCCCTCTAGAGACTCCAGTCCAGTGACACATGGGTCTCTACTGTGACCAGGGCTGTTTGACCACATGCATGTGATGGCAGGGTTGGCTATTCAATTGACAAAGGCAATGTCCTCTTTAGCAGAAGATGATGGTCAGATATGCAAAGAATCCTCTAGCACATGAGATATGTAGATTTGCTCCACTAGTCATGTTATTGTCGTTCAACAAAAATGTACTGAATACCTACTCTGTGTTAGTCCCTTTCTCATACTCTCTCTCAGGGCTTTCCCAGGGCGGAGAGAGAATATCAAGTCCATTTGCACTGTTTCCCTAAATAATTTACAAATGACGGGTACTTGGCATGTTTGCCTCCACTTCCTGTTTCTCGGTCCAGGTAGCGCAGCTCACAGTCCTCAACATGCTCAACATGGAGCTGTGGGCAGCCTCCACATATGCTGAGTAGAGGGGACCTATCCGTGTGCCTGCCTCAAAACAGTCTCTTCTTGCTTTCAGTGTTAAAATCCCTAAGCCAGGGCAGTATGGCTTTATCCTCTCCTTCAATTTTAAATGTCTGCCTTGTTTGGGGCTCCTTCAAACTAGGAGACGTACAAAGAATAAAATAGGTTTATTCAATCTCTCTTTGATATGTTTGCTACAGACTCCATGTTATCTCCTATTTTCTAGGGTCATTTAAAATGTGTAGGATCAGAAAAGGTCTTATGGGACTGGAAAAGTTTCACTGGAGACCTCTGGGTGCAATATTCAAAGATGAGTTTCCATTGGGTATTTGTATGACTCATTCTTTCACCTGCTGGCAGCCCTCAAGCTTTGAATAGTCCTTCTGTCTCCATCCATCTCCTCACTCCTGCAGAGTCCCTCTTGAGGAAACTCTTCCAGGTGGGCATCTGGACCACAAGGAAAATTTTTTTTTCCTTTTCCCTTCAATTGTGGAAATAGAGCCACCTCAAATCTGACCCTTCCCTCTGCCACCAAAAAGGAGAAACTCCAGAGGCACCTGGGTGGCTCAGTGGTTGAGCACCCACCTTCCACCCAGGTCGTGATTCTGGACTCCCAGGATAGAGCCCCACATCGGACTCCCTGCTCACCTGGGAGTCTGCTTGTCTCTCTTCTTTGCCTCTCTCCCTGCTTGTGCTCGCTCTTACTCTCTCTCACATAAATAAAATCTTTACAAAAAAATTCTAAAAATGGAAAAACTCCAGATATAGCCTTGTTCGTTGACTAAGTCAAATCCAGTCCTCATATCGTCTAGTTGTTCATAGGTCAGATTCTCTCTGAGCTCCTCTTGAAGCCATCCCTCACTTGGATTGAGATGAAGAGTAAGTGCCCATCATGTCCTC